ATTCAGCCTGTATGACTATGGTAAAGGACCTTAAAGGGAAAACAAATAAATCCATTAGTCTTTGAAAACACAAACCAACAGTGGAAGAAAATGAAGAAAACAGTTCAAGACCTGAATGTAGAAATGGAATGAATAAAGAAAACACAAACTGAGGAAAATCTAGAAACAAAATATTTAGAAACTCAAAACTGAATCTCAGAGGCAAGCCTCCCCACTAGACTACAAAAGATAGAAGACAGAGTCTGAAGCATAGAAGACAAGATAAAAGAAATGGATTCCTTGCTCAAATCAAATAGTAATTTTTCTGAAACTCAAGGCCCAAAACATCCAGGAAATCTGGGACACTACAAAAAGACCAAATTTATAAACAACAGGAATAGAAGAAAACACAGGTCGAAGGCACATAAAATATTTTCAACAAACTAGTAAGAGAAATTTTCCCTAACCTAAAAAAGGAGGTGTCTATCAAGGCACAGGAAGCACACAGAACACGAAAGAGACTGGACCAGAAAAGACATTCCCCATGACACATTATAATGCAAACACTAAATGTAAAGAACAAAGAAAGAATATTAAAAGCTGCAAGGAAAAAAAGGCCAGGTAACATATAAAGGCAGACCTATTAGAATAGCACCTGACCTCTCAACGGAGACTCTAAAAGCCAGAGGGTCCTGAAAAGAATATTTTACAAATTCTAAGAGACCACAGATATTTTACAAACTCTAAGCGACCACAGATGCCAGCACAGACTACTATACCCAGTAAAACTTTCAATAACAATAGATGGAGAAAGACATTCCACAATAAAACAAAATTTAAGGATTATCTACAAATACGGCTCTATAGAAGAAAAAAATTCCACTTGAAGAAGTTAACCACAACCAAGAAAACACAAGAAATACATAACACCAAATGAGTAAATCAAAAGGGGGAAAAACACATCACAAGAACAAAATAACAGAAGTCAACAACGATCTCTGACAACTCTCAACATCAATGGTCTCAATTCCCTAATAAAAAGACACAGACTAACAAAATAGGCTCAAAAACAGGATCCATCCTTCTGTTGTATCCAAGAAAGAAACTTTAACATCAAAGATAGACATTACCTCAGAGTAAAAGGATAGAAAAAGATATTCTAAGCAAATGGGCCTATGAAACAAGCTAGTGTAGCCATATTTACTATCTGATAAAATAGACTTCAACCCAAAACTAATGAGAAGAGATAGGGAAGGACATCACAGTCATCAAAGGAAAAATCAGCCAAGACGACATTGCAATTCTTAATATCTGTGAACTACACAAGGGCACTCAAGTTTATAAGACAAGCACTGCTACAGTTTAACTCATATATTAACCCCAACTCAGTGATAGTAGAAGACTTCAACACCCCACTCTCACCAATTAATCGGTCATCTAGACTAAATAGTAAACAGAGAAATACTGGAACAAATTGACATCATGAACTAATGGACCTAAAAGATACTTACAGAACATTTCACCAGAACACACATGTCCAAAAAAAAAAAGCTTTCTTCTCAGAAGCTCATAGAACTTTCTCAAAAATGGACCACATACTTGGACACAAGTCAAATCTCAACAGGTGAAAGAAAAAGGAAGGAAGAAAGGAAGGAGGGAGGGATGGAGGGAGGAAAGAAAGAAAGAAACTGAAATAACACCACGCATCCTATCTACATATTAAAGCTATATATCAACAACAGAACCAATAAGAAGCTTACAAATTCACAGAAGCTGAACAATCATGAATGCAAAATGGGTCAAGACAGAAATTAGGAAAAATTAAAAACTTTCTAAAACTAACTGAAAATAAAATCATGACCAGGTGGTGGTTGGTTTCACACATCTTTAGTCCCAGAACTCAGGAGGCAAAGACAGGCAGATCTCTGTGAATTTGAGGCCAGCCTGGTCTACAGAGTGAGTTCCAGCACTTAGTCCTGCTGGACTTGAGGTGTCAGGATAGGTTGGTACCCCTTGAGGGCCTACCCTTCTCTGAGAAGAAGGTGAGGGGAGAATGGGGGGAAAGAGGCATGACTGGGAGAAAAGAAGGGAGTGGGCTGGGTTAAGTCTGTGACGTGATTAAAAAAATTTTAAAAACAGAGTGAATTCCAGAACAGCCAAAATGAAATCAGAACATACCAAAATTTATGGAACACAATGATGGCAGTGTTAAGAGGAAAGTTCATAGCACTACCTACGTAAAGAAATTGGATAGATCTCTTACTAGCAACTTAACAGCACAACAACGAGCTCTAAAAAAAAGAAAAAAAATCACAACCAAAAGGAGTAAACAGCAAGAAATCATACTCAGCTGAAATCAATAAAAAAGAAATGATACCACAACAGTATTACTTTAAAAAAATCAATAAAACAAAGAGTTGCTTCTTTGAGAAAAATAGTAAGATTGACAAACCCTTAGCCAAGTGAACTAAAAAGCAAGAGAGAAGATCCAAATTAACAAAATTAGAATGAAAAGGAGACATAAAACACACTAAGGAAATCCTAAGAATCTTAATAATATACTTTAAAAATCTATACTCCACCAAACTAGAAAATCTAAAAGATATAAATAAATTTCTCTATTCATACTACTTACCAAAGTTAAATCAAGACCAGATAAGGATCTTAAACAGGTCTATTACCCCTAATGAAATAGAAACAAGTCATTAAATCTCCAAACCAAAGAAAAGAAAAAAAAATACCAGACAGTTTTAGCGCTAAATTCTACAAGACTTTTGAAGAAAAATTAAGGCCAACACTCCTTAACTTATTCCAAATAAAAATAGAAGGAACACAGCCTCTTTCTTTTGATGAGGCCACATGTACACTGATAACTCAACCATAAAAAGACCCAGCAAAGTCAGACAATTACAGACCAATTTTCATTATGAACACTGTTGCAAAAATTCTCAACAAAACACTTCAATGCTAAATCCAAGAACGCACAGAAAAGATCATCTGCCATGATTACACAGGCTTCATCCCAGAGATGCTGGGGTGGTTCAGCTATATAAATCGATAAATGCAATACACCATATAAACAAACTGAAAGATTAAAAACCACACGATCGTCTCATCAGATGCAAAAACAAACAAACAAACAAACAAAAAAGGCCTTTGACAAAACCCATACCCCTTCAGGGTCAAAGACTTGGAGATATTAGAAATACAGGGGACACACCTCAACATAACAAAGGCAACTTACAGCCAGACCATAGCCAACATCAACTTAAATGAAGAATAACTCAAAGAATTTCCACTAAAATCAAGAATAAATCAAAACTGTCTACTTATTCCATATCTATTCAATTCAATATAGTACTAGAAGTCTTCACTAGAGCAATACGACAACTGCAGGAGACCAAGGAGACACAAATAGGTAAGAAAGAAGCCAAAGTATCTTTGTTTGTCAACGGTATCACAGTATACATAAGTATACTTAAAACCAGTAGCCTTCTATATATATATAAATTTTTATTTTTTTAATATTAATCACAGGTTATTTACTTTGTATCCTATCCGTAGCCCCCTCCCTCATTCCTTCCCAATCCCTCCCTCCCTCCCTCCCTCATCTCCTCTCTGCCCCTTTCCAAGTCCACTGCTAGGGGAGGTCCTCCTCCCCTTCCATCTGACCCTAGCTTATCAGGTATCTTCAGGACTGGCTGCAATGTCCTCCTCTGTGGCCTAGCAAGGCTGTTCCTCTCTCGGAGGGTGGGGGAAGGTAAAGGAGCCAGTCATTGAGTTCATGGCAGAAATAGTTCCTGTTCCCCTTACTAGGGAAACCCACTTGGATACTGAGCCACCATGGGCTTCTAGGTCATATCCATACATGGTCCTTGGTTGGAGAAACAGTCTCATAGAGGACCCCCGTGCCCTGATATATTTTGTCCTTGTGGAGCTCCTGTCCTCTCCCAGTCATATTAACGGCCCCTTTTATCACATGATTCCATGCACTCTACCGAAGGATTTGGTTATGAGTCTCAGCATCTGCTTTGATATGCTGCTAGGTAGAGTCAGCTATGCACTCCTAGACATATATCCAAAAGATGCTCAAGTACACAACAAGGACATATGCCCAACCATGTTTGTAGCAGCTTTATTCGTAATAGCCAGAAACTGGAAACAACCCAGATGTCCATCAACGGAGGAATGGATACGTTTACACAATGGAATACTACTCAGCAATGAAATTTGGAAGCAAATGGTGGGATCTAGAAAAGATCATCCTGAGTGAGGTATCCCAGGAACAGAAAGACACACATGGCATATACTCGCTTATATAGTCCTATAAGGTAGGATAAATATACTAAAATATATGCACCTTAAGAAGATAAACAAGAAAGAGGACCCGGGGTAATATGTTCAATCCTCTCTTAGAAAGACAAATGGGATGGACATGGGAAGTAGAAGAAAACAAGTAACAGGACAGGAGCCTACATCAGTAGCCTTCTTATATACAAATGACAAACAGCCTCAGTAAGAAATCAGGGAAACAACACCTTTTACAATAACCTCAAAACAATATAATATCTTGGGGCAGCTCTAGCCAAGGAAGTAAAAGATTAGTATGACTAAAATCTTTCAGAGATTGAAGAAAGAAATTGAAGAAGACATCAGAAGATGGAAAGATCTCCCATGGTCATAGATCTGTAGGATTAATATAATAAAAATGGCTATCCTACCAAATGCAATCCCCATCAAAATTCCAACACAATTATTCTCAGAACTTGAAAGGACAATTTTCAGCTTCATGTGGAAACACTCAGGATAAATAAAAACTCAAAATAAATAAAAACAGGCCTGAATGATTAAAAAAACAAGACTGCTGGAGGTATCACCACCATCCCTCTTGACCTACTCATTAGCCTCAGCATTACAATCTGAAATTTTATGTGGGCTTTTTTCTTTGCATCTCTAAGACAGTTTCACAGAACGTTTCATATTTGGAACAAAAAATAAGCATGCATACCACAGTATAATACCTTTCAATTTAATTGCCACATCAATATAGGATTGCAGAAATGCCATGGATACTGCATGCCCTACAATAATATCAGAAAAGTCAACAGACATTAGGACATACTTATCTACACAGAACCCATGCTTATATCACACACATAAACATATGCAGAGATTTATGGGAATTACCAAAACTACAAATTTTCCAATAATAGATACTACAGAATAGTCAATATTATTCACTTATATAGGTTCCAAATGCAACAAGTATTTTCATTCCTATTGCATACAGTGAAATGGCTATTACTTGAAGATAAGAGATTTCCTACACTACTATAAAAATATTGATATCTAAAATAATTACTAAAAAATAATAATTAATTTTAAAATTAATACTAGTTTTGAAAAGTAAATAACTGAATTTCTAGCTTAATCATTAACCTTCAATTTGCAAATAAATACCTTAGAAACACGGAAAATCAGTTCCTGAAAAATCAGTTCTTAAAATCAGAAGTAAATGCTTCAGTGTGTACAGTCTGAGACATGAAAACTATGCCATTTTACAATGTATAATATATAGAAAGCAAACATAAAACCCATCTTCAAGGGTCCTTTTTGTCCTACAGTGTCCTTTCAGAGCTCATACTTACAAGCAGCATAGAAGAGCACTATGCTGTCAGAGGTCGTGACTGTTGCATTAAATGTCTCCTCTGTTAACTCCACTGTCAACTCCAAAGGCAAGAGTCTCTTCCTATCTCTGTACACAGTTCCTGCCACTTCATCATCTTGAACAGCTAAAATGTTTTTTAAAGGAGTTAATTTACAGAAATTAATAAATTAATTTAAATGTTTAATTTACATGATTAAATATTTAATTATGAGCTACCATAGGAAAAGTGGTACTTTATACAAATATCTGAGTCCACAATGTCTAAACAATTATGCATAATACTTTAAAAAGTTCTCAATTGCCCAAATTTATATCTTAATGACTCTGGGACGATTTCTGACCCATAAAACACAGATTGGTCAATTTCATTTTAGAAACAATGAGAATATGGCAACTTTATTTCTAATACCATATTAATTTAAAAGTCCTAAAGGAGTCTACCATGTTTTATTTTTTATTTATTTAGAGCCTACAGTGCGCCAAGCATTGTGAGAAACCCTGGAATAAGTGGTTAAAAAATAAACTTATCCTTGACCACGTGGCACTTCTGTCAATGGAAAAGTAGGCAAGAAACCACCAATGAATAAAGATATAATTACAATATCTGATCAGTTTGAAGGCAAAAGATACAGTGAGGGATCCTAACAAGAAAAAGCTCTAAAGTCTGCCAGGCAAAGAATAAAACAGAGTGCTTTATACAAGCAAATAATTATGCAAAGGCTTTGAGACATAAAAGTGCTTAGCATCCACAGGCACTAAGAGAAGGAAATGTCCTGTTCCCTTTCTTCTCCTGCTTCCATTGTCTATCAGGTTTGCCCTACTGAATGAGGATTGAGCAGGACAGGAGTCCACCACAGAGGGCCTCTAATAAAAGACTCTACTGATTGAGGTATCGAAGCAGAGGCTGAGACTCACAGCCAAACTTTGGGGAGTGGCCATAAAACTTTATGAAAGAAGGGGGAGATAGAAAGATCTGGAGGGGACAGGAGCTCTAAAAGGAGACCAACAGAGGAAAGAAAAAGAACTGGGCCCTGAGGGTCCAGAAGAGACTCATAATCCAACCAAGGACCATGCATGGAGATAACCTAGAACCCCTGCTCAGATGTAGCCCATGGCAGCTCAGTATCCAAGTGGGTTCCCTTAAATGGGAACAGGGACTGTCTTGACATGAACTCAGTGGCCTGCTCTTTGACCGTCTCCCCCTGGCGGGTGCAGCATTACCAGGCCACAGAGGAAGACAATGAAGCAACTCCTGATGAGACTTGATATCTAGGGTCAAATAGAAGGGGAAGAGGACCTCCCTTATCAATGGACTAGGGGAAGGGCATAGAAGGAGATGAGGGATGAAGGGTGGGTATGGGAAATGAGGAAGGAGGCCACAGCTGGGATACAAAGTGAATAAGTTGAAATAAATAAATAGATAGATAAATAAATAAATAAGGAAATGATTAGTGATATGGCACTGTAAAGACTGCATGACAAGAGAAAACTCTAGCACAGTGGTTCTCAACCTTCCTAATGCTGCGACCCTTCAATACAGGTCCTCATGTTGTAGTGACCCCAACCATAAAATTATTTTTGTTGCTATTTCATAAGAGTAGTTCTGCTACTGTTGTGAATCAGAATGTAAATAACTAATATTCAGGATGCATTTTCATTGTTTCAAATTGACCCAAGGGAGACACAACCCATAGGTTGAGCAATGCTGCTCTACACTAAATAGTGTCTGAATTGTAAGAAGAAAACTAAGCCAAGAATCTGAATTTTATGCCAAACACATAAAGTTATAAACACATTCTGAATACAAAAACACACTGATTTCAATAAATTACAAAATCCGAAATGTACACTGGATTTCCTCAAGAACTGCCCTACTCCCATGACACCAGAAAGTTATACCCTCAATAACAAAACTACTAATGGTCCTCTCCCCTATGTACTCTACACTAGTTAAACATTTTTCTTTTTCCATGTGTTGCCTTCTTATGGAACCCAGGCCTCTCCATTCTAATTCATACTTTGGCCACTTCCTTTGGGAGGTCCTTGTCTCTAAGTTCCACAGTGACTCATTCTTTACTAACACCCTTTTCTACTTCTCTGTAAATGGGGATGATTCAAAGTAGAGGGGCGATTATGCATATGGGCATAACACTATACAATACCAAGGGCCAATACAGATTACATACCATAGGAGGTTAGGAAGAAAAAAGCATCCTCCCCCCACCCCCGCCATATACACACACAAAACAGTAACAGGCTGTGTGGCAAGACAGCAGGTACCAAGGAAAGCAGCTCCTGTAGAGGGCACACTGGGGCAGGCAGAAGGATGCAAGAGGAGCCATGATTTCCAGAAGGAAAGCTCGGAAACAAACAAACAAACAATTGCCACTAAGGAGAGGAGTCTCACTGAACTGAGACAACAGCAGGTGCCCATCTGACAACTGGCACAGATAAGCAAAACAGGAACAGAGCAAGAAGCAAGAGGGCAGAATCAGGTCAGGTGATTTAAAGCTGGAAAGAAGAAATCTAGGAAGAAAACATAAGAGAGAGAACACCAGGAGAAAGCAAGTGCTCAGATCAAAACATCAAGCAGGTCACTGGTAGCAGTGAAAGTTCTTATTAGGAACAGCATGGTGATGCTGATTGTGACAGTGGATGCACATCAGGGGAGGGCAGGGGCCTTTTGGAGAGTCTGATGATATACACAGAACATTCAAATACAAGTGGGACACAAAAACAAGAAAGACATAATCCCTGAATCAGAGACTTACTCTAGGCAAGCACGGAGGAAGGTAAACCAGCAATTACAGAATAATTAATGTCATGATCAAATATTAGGAACAATGATAGCAAATAAGTCTCATGTCAGGATGCTTAAGTTCTAGGCCAAGCTCTCCCACTGTGCTGCTGGTGTGACCTCAGGCAAGTCCTAACTACAGAGACAGATTCTTCATCTATAAATTGAAGGTGAAGCTAGCTCTCACAGAGGACACAAAGAAAGCCATGTCAGCCCTAAGAATGAAAGCCCGAAGTGACTGATGAATACTAAAATGGTACTGAAATTCGCTAGTGATACTGCTGACATCCAGGCTCATTTACAACTACAAACATATCAATGTTAATTACAATCTCATTTTCTAGTAGGAACTGTAAAAATGAATGTGCCATGGCTCTGTGTGGACCTGTTAGATGCAACAAGCCCAGTTGAAAAGAACTGATTGTGAAAGACAGGCAAAAATGTGGGCAGCTGGAAACCCAATACAAAACAATAAAGGTATGCGGTAAAACACAAAAGACACCTTACATCTGCTCACCAATAACCCAATAAAATGTGATTCAAGTTACACTCTCCAGATTTCTTCACAGACTCCTGAATGGGATTACATCAGCAAAGAAGTCCATCTACTGGATATCTCACTCCATGCCGGGAGTGGGGTCTCACACTTCTTACCCAGATCTGGGTCTTCCTCATCTCCATCTTCATCCTCCTGTGTTTCTTGTTTTTCTTCAATGTGCATACTATTTTTCACATGGGAAACTATTAAATCAACAGCATTTAACACCAGGTATTCCACAGGCGCTTCCTAGAAATGTTATTTAATTTTTCAAGTTAGCATAAAAAGTGACAGGTTTCATTAGGACGTGTCCAAACATGTGAACATTCTGTGCTGACTTGCCTTTCCCTGCTGCCGTCCTGAAACATTCTTGCACCTTCTTTGTGGGTCCACTGCCTCCTGCTAAACAGTTCCCCCTACTTCCTTAGTCACATGTATTCCTTCACCCTTTTCCCTCCTTCCCTTTCCTTTGAGATCACCTCCTCCCCTCTCATGCTCCCCTTTCTAGCTTCCTGACTCTTTTATACACACACACACACACACACACACACACACACACACACACACACACACACA